CAGAGCAAAGCGCCCTTCCCACAGCCACCCTCCTCCAACCTCAGCCAGCCCACCCCACAGGCAGATGGAGTGGAAGAAACTGCTCACCTGGTTGTTCCGCACTCGGCTCTTTCACCTATGAAGAAACACAAATCTCCATCACCTCCACGTCCGTCACCACCAAAGGACCGCGACAAGACCCTCGCCCAGGCTCTCACACACTCGCCTCTCGCTCTGTAAGCCCCAAGGTCGTGGCTTCTGGCAAAAAGAAGCTGAACATGCCCGAGGGCCCCCTTGGGCTATACAAGCCACACAAGCCCCCACCACCTAAAGACATGTTAGAAATGCCAGACTCAGCCAGAAGAGAGGGCAAGAGTCTTCAATTCCCACTGACGTTAAAAGTGCATTTGCAATATGAAGCCCACCTTGTACATAAGCAGACGTTCTGCAGGTCCCCTGCACTAAGTGCTCTTGTACACCAGCTGGGGACTGAGTCACAGAATCACACACTAATGGGCTGGAAGGGACCTCAAGGATCATCTAGCCCAACCCTTTAAGGTAAAGAAATAGTCTGTATGAGACGGCCCAGCTCCCTGTCAGGCTGAGCTGTAGAACTGTCAAAAGTTGAGGAATTCGCCGCTTCCCGTGGAAGCTGGCTGAGCCCAGGCAGGCGAGGGGCAGTCTGGTGAGAGCCCTGCGATGCGAGACAAGAGCCCATCTCAGAGCACTCAGCCACACTCCCTGCTGGCTGTCAATACTCTCGTTCCCTTCATGTACTTTCAGTGCTTGGACTTCCTATAAACAGCAGCATATCAGCGCTGATAAGATCTGTTCATTTTTTTAAGTATTTGTCAACCCACTGAGAAAAACTAAACGAATTTCACATGCTGTTTGTGCCTTTCTCCCAAGGCCAGGAAAGCTGATTTATTCTTCCTTTTTCCAAGACACATAAAAGGAAGCATTTGGCTGCACATGCCTCCTTCCTGCTCTCCCTTGGCACCTGCGGAAAGCAAGCTTGCAGCCAATTCCTCACCGAAAAAGAAAATAATTCCACATGAGTGTTTTGCAAACCCAGACTTCTTCCTAACGAGAATCAGCTCACGCTGAAACGCAGCATTTGGTGTTTCTGGGCTAAATATTTGCTGAACGCCTACATAGCAGGATGATCCCACAGCCTGGGAGAAATTCAGAAAGTTTTCATGTGAAAGTCTTCTGTGGCTGCTTTTGCACAACGCTAGAGAATTAAAATGCCTGACTCTGCACTCCTCCTCCTAAGCATGGCATTAGTGGGGCTCTTGTGCGAGAGACCAGGAGGGTGATCAAATTAATCTTCCACAGATTTTTTTGTTTTTTACTCTGAGATGAGTCCAATTTTTGTAATGCTAAAGCATGGCCATGGATCGTTTGTGTATTTTAATTTACGTATATTCTCGCCTGTTGGAAAATCAGGACGCTAACTCAACTCCGTCTTCTTTACACTGGAAACAATGCCATTTTTAAAACACTTAGGAGAGCTAAAATCTTCTCCCAGGGTCACGGCTGCACATCCCTACCCCAGCGGTGGCGGATCACAGCGGAAGCCACGCACCCCTGCGTGTTACTGCCCACTCCGCCGTGTGACACCTGGCTGTGTGTATGTGTGTGCTCTGACCCGAACTTCTGAAATCATCTGGAGTAACAAAAGCGTGCTATGGAAAAGTTCATTTTAAAAACAAGGGTGATTTTGTAGCTCTGGCTTAGAGCAAGTCAAAAACGTGTGGCTGGAGGAGGGGGCAAGGGCCTATTAAACCAGCAAGGCTGCTGGCAAGTCTGTAACACAGAATTACAGCATCAAGCACAGGAAAAAGTGTGTGTTCAGGGTCATACTAAGAGGAGAAGAAGCAGGAGAGAAAGGAAAAAGCAGAGGGTTGGGTGTGAATCTCTTTGCTGTTGGAGAAGTAACCCAGCACGTGGGCACACAGCGAAGATTCACAGAGGTTTCTCTTCGTGCACTCCCAAAAGAGGAACATTCCAGGGAAATGATTCTGCAAGTCACTGGTTAAACCCAGGAGTAGCAGCCGAGCACAGAAGCCATCAGCCACCCAGGAAAACAGAGAGCAGGTAAGACTGAAAGGCGACGCCTGGTTTAAAATCCCCTCACGTGCCGGGAGGTTCCTCCCCAGACCTCAGCCCGCGGCTCACCTTCCCCAAGAGTCTGCTTCAGCAAGTCGTGTTTCGCCTGGAGCTTCGTGATGAGGTTACTGCCGTTCAAATACTCTTTAAATTTCTGGAATTGAATATAGAACAAACAAGGTGGGTTACAACTCTTGCCAAAACCAGTCTGTAATCAACGTAAGCTCTAGCCCGGGGGCTGCCGGAGGGGCTCGGCGAGGCTGACAGGCTCGAGCCAACTCGACACCAGGCGCCGCGGGGCCGAGCACGGTCTCATCACTTCTCGCTTCTCCAGCCACAGTCCTGATGATCTTATTAGCCTGGTCTCCCTGGTGCTGCACCTCCTGCCTGGGAACGCGAGGAGGTCCAAAGAAAAGAGTTCAAAGCGAGCTTTCTTTTGTCAGGCTTCTGGGAATGGCCTGGAAAATCAAAGAGGCTTTCCCTGCCCTGACAGCAGCTCTGCCTTTGTGCAGGCAAGTGATGCAGAGTGAGAACTCCCAGAGCAAGAGACTTTCCCAGGTCCGGGGCCACCAGATGCTGAAGGCACTAGGCGACGCTCACTGTGCAGCACAACCTCTCATTCCATCGTGAGACTGCTGGGCACCCGGTAACACTCAAGGGCAAGCAATTTTACAGATACGAGGAGTGAGGGAGACAGAGATGGAAAACGAAAGAGAACGGGAAAGATCACATCCTTGCAAAAAGCATTAAAAAAAATCCCACGCCTAAGTACAACTCAAAATGAAAACTGCCATTTGTTTTCCCCCTGAACTGGAATAATAATACTGTTAAGAGAAAGTAGCAGCTTTTCTACGCCTATGTAATATATCACAAGAGACTATTAACTTCAGCCTACTATCCATGCTTAAACGAGGGCTACTTCTGCTGACCCAGCGACTTATTACTTACAAGTGCTCTAACAGAGAAGCTCAGCTCTGCCTGGCAGTGCAGGGGAGGACCCAGCACAGCTGCCTCCAGCCAGCACGGGCCCAGCAGGGTCCAGCCAGGCTGCTGCAGCGCCTTCCAACGCCCGGCACGAGGTGCACATGACCGTTCAGTTCAGTTTTTAGCTGTGTAGGCCAGAGAAAGAGGCCTTGGCTGATGGGTCAAACCTGTGAAGACCTCCAGGAAGAGCCACTAAATGGTGACAAACTGTGAGGCAGGCTGGAGTCTGCTGCCCTGCTCTGAGCCTCTCCTACTGAGTTCTGCAAGTTTTGGGGCACACCTGGTTGCTCCAGTTCTTCCTTCAAAAAGAAGAATGAGGCAAACATGAGGAGGTCAGTTCCTGTGCATGACTCTGCCACCGAGAAACACATTCCAACCCCAAATCAGACAGGAGACAAATACTTAGAGAGACTGAATTGGTTCTCGCTCTTCACCCATGAGCACTTAAAATGGGACTCAACTGTAGCAATTAATGTTTTGTGCCCTGTACAAGATGAGACTCACCGTAAAATAGAACATTTCGGTTTCCTGCTGGTTGGCTCTCCTCTTGGCAATGTTTATTTTGCTCATGTAGGTCTCTGATGCAGCTGATTTGACTGACTCAGTGGAGCGGCTATGCTGGAAGGCATCTGAAACATCAAAATCTTCCACCGTCAGCATGTCCTGCAAAGTCTGCATTGTGGCATCCAGAGTTTTTCGCACCTATGAGAAAGAGAAGACAGCTTGGTTTTGAAGCAGACTGGGAAGGGGACACATCACGGCCCAAAACAACTGGCCAACAGGCAGCTCCTACGTAGTGCACTGGCTCTTACGCTGCCTGCGACCAGCATTGTCACTGGAAGAAGGACTCCACACCCAAGCACACCAGGAGAGCCCCTGTGTAAGGGCCAGAAGGCTCAGCAACGCTGCCTGTGAGGCCAGACGCGAGACACAGAGCGACTTCTTACCTCTTCGTTCTCTATCTTGAGGGTGGCTAGTCGCGACTGCAGCTGGTGGTACCGCATCAGCAACTCAGTCTGCACAGGCTGCTGGGCGCTGACCTGACACACCTGAGACAGGAGAGCATTCGCTGGGTCGAGCACTGACCAGATGTACACATTTAAATACCTAAATCATTCTCTCCGGCACCCATGAGCCCCTGGCAGCCTCCAGAGAGGCCGCGTCGCCCAGTTTCTAGCCAGCGGCGCCCTGGACCCAGGCCAGCACAAAGCATTTTCTACCCGGCGTTTGAAAGCTGCACTCTGAAGTGTTCCAATTACAGCAGGTAAATCAAAGCCCCGCTTTACAAATCTGCTGGGCAGTTCGGCTGAGAACCAAACCACAGGCTTCCTAATTGGGAGAGATACGGAGCAAGAGGCAGACTGTGAAGAGGAGCCCTAATGAGCCAAGTGTCTCGTTAAGAAAGGAAACACGAATGGCAGCATGTGAAGGCAGCACAGAGGGATGAGGAGTCAGAAATAACCTAACGGTGATGATTAAGAGGAGCAGGAAGCCGGCCCAGGCCCCTCTGCAGCCCCTCGGGTGAGCACGCTACCTCGTCCCCCATGTGAGGCTGGAACTCGAACTTCAGCGGAGGGCAGAAGACCTGGTTGCACATGTCCATGATGGTGTGCTTGTCACTCCGCGCATCCAGGTTGTCCACAGCGTTCTCGATGATGTCCAGGCCCTCGTGGCGGGAGGTTTCCAGGTTGTACTCGGCGGACAGGTACGTCCTGAAGGTCCGAGCGAGGCTGGCGTGGAATCCCAGATCACAGCACTGAGAAACACCGAGGAAGGGTCTGGTCACACAAACACTCCCACCCTCGTTCTGGAGGGTCGCATGTACATTAAAGGCCCAGAAAAGCACTGTATGACCCAAAGAAACGCAGCCCTGTCGTACCAGGGTGTACTGAACTGCATACTGCAATGCCATACGGACAGGTAAGAAGGAAAGAGGACTGAAGGAGAAGAGGTACCAGGGTACAAACAGGCAGACAGGGCAGTGACCCCCTATTGGACCCCACCACGGCACCTTTGTTTCACTGGGAAGGGCACAGGATTTTTTCAGATAGGACAGAGGAAAACAACAAAACATCCAAAAGCAGGGTTCTCTCTGGCTCCCTGCTCAGCCCCACCAACGGCAAAGCCTGCGCCCCACACAGGCCCCTGGGAAAGAAGGGGCCCGAGGACCCTTGTCACTGCTTGCCCCCAGCACTTTCCTTCTCACCTCCTGAGCCGCGAGTGCTTTTCACCAGAGAAACCACTTCCCAAAGTAAGCAAACACAGGCGACAGGTGGCACCGCAAAACCGTGCCCTGCAGAACGTGCAAACCCTTCTCCCTCACTCAGGACCTGCCTTCCTCTCTCGCCACGGAGCAGCTCCTCATGTATAACTGATCGTTCTCCTGCTCACCTTGGGGACAACGATAAAACTCATAGCTAATTGCTGCCAAAACACCGTACGTTAGACAAAAGCCTGTTTTTAAACTCTCTTCTCAATATAATTGAGTTTGGCATGTTAAGTATAGCAACAGCATGGGGATTTGCTGCTATGAACGGTTAATCACAACTGAGCAAAAAGCGACTCTTTGAAACCTTCTTTCCAGTCCCCGACACCGCACAAACCCTCGCAGGGCCCCACTCTGGCTGGACCTGCTGCCCCAGCAGTGGGGGCAAGGATGGGCACCAAACAAGTGCCCAAAATTTGAAGGTCAACAGCTGCTCTGTGGGGAAAGGCAAGATGGAGATGATGCTGGAAGCGGGGGGAGCGCGACACGTCAGGCTGAGCCGCGCTCACCGGGCTGTAAGGAAAGCACGCAAAAACACACGGGCTGCAGTCCAGAACTGAGGCACATCCATTTCTGGGATGTAAGAGAGGGCTGGAGTTCCTGAGAGAGGATGGAAGGTTGGATAATTATGCCATTATCCTAATGACATCCTCAGCGCACCCACCCTGTCCCCTGGCAGAGCACGGGTTTGGCACCAGCACGGGTTCGGCACCAGGGCCAGCCTGGCACCAGCGGTGGGCAGAGACGTACCCGCGGGGTTTGGGGACCTCTGCCCACCAGCACCGGCATCTGCAGAGACTTGCCCAGGCACAGGAGGGCTGCAGGGCACAGGGACACCTCCGTGGGAGAAACAGAGGGACTCCATGAGAAACACCCACGCCACAAAGCCAGACAATTACTCTTGCTACATGGCAACTACCACAGGACAATTTAGACTACAGAAGTTAAAGCGCTTTGCTGCCACACAGCGTAGAAGGATGAGTAGGAAGTCCTTGCTTTCTGGGCTGTAACCAAAACCACCGCCAGGACCACCCGTACGGCACGCAAAGCTACAGAAAAGAGAAGAAAGATTGCTGGTGTAATCTTAATGGCCCAAAATGAGCCAAACTTTTTTGCAGGGGCAGAACTCCCTCTTGGGAACTGGCATTTCAGAGGCACCTTCTCCAGCTCTACA